CCTAGAAGTCTCTTTTGAATTGTATGCCAAATATTTAACTGGTTTTGAAAGTATTTATAATCTGTTTTAATGACCAGGTACAATCAATTAATTATTTCTTTTTGGTAGGGATTTATAATTAGTTTATGGTTGTTGCTAGTTGTCCTAATTATCTTTGAATTCAATTACTTTTCAGTGGTAGTTTAAATTAAATTATGTCAAGCTTGAGAAGTGTTGCTTTCAATAATCTTCTGTGTGGGGTGGAGAAATAAGGTGTCTTCCATGGTATGCATGTTAGGCATAAAGTTCTTGAATTATAGTTGTGAGGTAGCCCTTGTTTTCCCAGTAAAGCTTCTAATTCACTGCCTTTAGATTGGATATTAAACTTGGTGCACTTGAGTTCTGCAACTGCTTTTCCTGCAACAGGAAAGAGAAAATGGTTGAATGCAAGGAAATTCAGGATGTAGTGGAAAATCAGGTGGAGATACAAGAAAACTGTACCACAAGGAAAAGTAGTCACAGCAGTATAATACTGTAGCTAGCATGATGAATACAGAGATGTGATAGAGGAGGAGAAGGAATAAAGATGAAGGTAATGAAAGAACAACCCTGTAGTAAATGTGAATAGAGGAGAGGACTGAGGGCATGCATAGGGAAGCAGGAAAGACAACTGCCCAGTGCAGACTGAAGAGAAGAGGATAAAAGACAATAGCAGATAAGTGCAAAATTCCACACTACTTCATGGATTTTTCCAAAACAGTAAGAGCTAATTAAAAAGCTTAATGAAATAATGCAGAATTGTATGTCTATTTTCATGCAGCTTCAAATGTTCCTTTTACCAGCCTTCATAAATGTGTTTTCAAGATGTAGAATAATTTCTCCTGAGAAAATTCTCTCTCTGAACTTTGCAGGCTAGACTGGTTACAGGATGCACAAATTTTATCATCTGTACAGTTGTCAATACAGAAAACTAATGTAATGTTTGAACCCTTCTTGTATGTATTACCATTGTATCTTTTTTCTTTAAATTCTTCTCTGATAAAAGCAAAGCCATGTCACTGTTTTGAAGTCACTAAGCAATTTGTTGTGGAGATGGCCAAGCTATCTCAGCTATTGGAACCTGCTGATAGAAAATTGACCTGACATTCTCAAAGACTCTGCTGCTTCTGCCTTGACCATGTCTGCCATAAACTGATGAGCTATAAACATCCTCGAAAAAAGCAAGCTACTTAATTGAGGAAGAAGAAAAACTAGGATGCCAATAAGACAGTTTGGATTTTTGAACAACAGAACATCTCTGGCATTTACAGGGCTCGTATCAGTGGACTAGTATCAAGATTTAATTAAGGTTATGTGAATGATCTAATTTATTAGTAGTTTCCTCACAACTAATTCAGTCATCCAGAATGTAACGCCAATATTTACAGAGTATTCCACAAGATATTAAAAGAATTTTGAATCTTAATTACCTCTGTGCAGGGTATTGGCTTTTTATGACTTGCAGAGGAACTTGGTAGAAAGCAAGTTTTATAATGCTGTGAGCCTGTTTTTTTATGTCTTGCATGCTCTGAAATCTTAAAAGGAAAACATTGAGGAATGGGTAATAAAATACCAAACACTGGGGAATAGAATAGAACTCCCAAGGACAGTTGAAGACAAAGGTGTCATTCCAGGGCACAAGTAAGCTCATATGGAGGGAGCCCCTTCTAGAAAAGCATTTAGTGTGCTGGAATAAAGGTTTGGAAGAACCAGTAAGTATTACTTTAAAAAGAAATAGAATAAAAAACGAGGCTTTCAAATTTTTAACACCAGAAGTGATTATTAATTGGAAAAAATGATTGCCATTCACTTTGGATGAATAAATATTTCAATATTTATTTCTAGTATCATTAAAGATACAGTTCTTGATGATGACATCAAAATAGTTTCCATTTTATCTCTATAGCAGAATAGCTCATATTAGACTGCTACTAAAGTGCTTATTTTAAAGTTCTGATTGTTTTAAGAATAACAAGTAATCTGTATGCAGTAGTTGAGGCAGTATGGTGACATTTCTTTTCAGGGCAGTTCCATCTTGTTTGAATTCCCCTGGATTTCACATTTCTTTGCTGGATTTTCAGATAGCTCTAACCTTCTGGTTTTGTGCATGTCAAAATTCAATCGTGTATACAGATATGCAACATGGAAAATGATTATGTGGGACTTATTTTTCTTGTACAATGCTTGACTCCAGTTTCTTTGGCATTTCTTAAATGCTTTTTTCAGAGAATGTGTGTTTTAATTCCCTTGTCATTTAAGATATGTGCACCTTTGTTTATATGTTGTTGCATTTTTGGTGATGTACCTGTCATCGGTCAAGATGGATTGGAATGCTCAAAAGGGTCAATGGAAGAGCCTTCAACACCAGTCTCTAAAATTGTTGAGCTTTAATTTTTGTACATGAGCTTTTCTAATTTTTTTCATGTAAAGCTTGGTTTTCCGTGTGTGTAGTAAATGCTATTCAGCTAAGTGAGCAATTTCACCAGCCCTGTGTTCTCCTTTCTGCTGCCTTCCCTTCTAGGCTAGTTTTTTACTCAAATATTAGCACTTAAAATTTACTTTTAGGGTTGTTGAACACTTGAATGTTGAGTATTTATGCCAGTAATTTGGGGGTTTGTGCTTTATTTTTCTGTGGTACTATGCTTTGAAATTTTTACTGTGAACAGGTCTTTGACTTCCTTTTCAGCTTCATCAGTTTTTCCCTTTTTAGAATTGAGTAACTTGTTTGACTGTTTTTTGCTTTTTCCATACAAAAATAAGTAATTTACATCCTTTGCTAAGTACAGTTGTTTGCCAATTCTATTTTAACATAGGGTGGTGTGTTTCCCACTTAGCATTTGCCTTCCCCCTTTTTATTTTTAAGGGGGGGAAATTGGTTGTACTTATTTAGCTCAGTGTGAATGAAACAGATGTCAATGTAAGAGCTGATGTAAGAGGTGTATCGTGTTTGAGGCCTATTTAAGCAGAGATGCCATGTTGAATTTCAGCCTTGTATAAATGCTGTTCATGAGAGAATGAAAGAACAGGAATGACATCCTGGTACCACTTGAAGATGTGCTCTTATTGACTCGATGGAGCTGGCAGTTTATTTCTAGTATAACAGCCAAGTGTGAAAATAGAATTGAAGTCTAAGAAGTAAGACATTTATTTGTATGTTCTTTTTCTTTTTCTTCTCCTATGCAAGAACATTGGAACTATTTTGGGGCAGATGAAAACCTGGGTCCCGTAGCTGTGAGTATAAGAAGAGAGAAGCCAGAGGAAATAAAAGAGAACGGGCCTCAATACAACTACCGGATCATATTCCGAACTAGCGAGGTAAGCAGTTCAGGAATGGTGGTAAAAGAAGCTAGGAGCAAGCAGGGAAAACTGAGTGGCATGTGTGGGGTTTGTGTGCTTTTCAGCATTGATAATAGACTTCTGTATAATCCAGGAATCTCCTGACAAAATTATAGGTTTATATGGCACAGAATATATGTGAGTTATTCCATAGCATCCCATAGAGAGGAAACTGGGAGGGTTGTCTTAGTTAAAGCCTGAGAAGCTTATAGGAGCTATATTAACTAGAAGCAAGCAAAGAGGAGTGAAATTATGTTCTCCACTTTTATATGGGACACTGGCTAGGCCTGAGAAATGTGCTTTTATACTTTGAAATGATCTGCTAGAAATACTCATTTTTTCCAAGAAGTTGTTTCCCGGAAGCTTTAAATCTGATGAATCATTTGAAATATTCTAATTACTGTTAGCTATCAGTGTGTGACGTTTTGTGCATCAGTGTCTGTTTCACACCAACAGAAATTACTTAATGACCTTAATCTCTATTGACAATTGGAAAAATAGTATGTTTTGTTTCACTGCTATTGCTGATCAATCTTAGTGCATAATGCAGTATACACTATTTTTGTTCTGTATCCTTAGCTCATGACATTGAGAGGCTCTGTGCTGGAAGATGCTATCCCTTCCACTGCAAAACACTGCACAGCAAGGGGACTGCCCCTAAAAGAAGTGCTGGAGTATGTGGTACCAGAGCTGAATATCCATTGCCTGAGGCTGGCCTTCAACACTCCAAAAGTCACAGAACAGCTTATGAAGCTTGATGAACAAGGGGTAAGTGCAGAGTTATAGAATTAGACAAATTTTCTTAAACTGTCAGATTATTGCCATGAGTTGAAAAATTATCTTTTAGTTTTAAGTTACTAATTATTATTATTATTATAGTCAGTCTATTGAAATGCCTCATTTAAACTAAAGCTTGTCATCTGTAGGGAGATTGTTGCATGTATTTCCCCTAAGTTTTGCAGAATATTTGGCATGTATTAAATCAAGTTCATTGCTCTGTGTAGCCTAAAGTTTTAGATTAATGTTAAGGCAATTGTTAATTTTGATTTATTTTAAAAGCAGCTACGTGATCGTTTTTCAAAGACATTGGGGAAGAGAGGGAGTTCTCTTCTGTTTTTTCTTACTGCTTTTATAATAAGACGACAGATCTGCCATGTTACTAAATGTTTCATTGTAATAGATATATTGACTCAACCATTACCAGGGTGCTGCCTGGGGTTTTTTCTTCTCCCAAAACAAACCGCATGGCAAAATGCTCTAAGCCTTTTCTTCATACAAATGGTTTTCAGTTAGGTGACAGTCCTCTGGTCTCTGAAAGATGGAACCAAGTCTCATTAGCCATACAGCTTAGACTTAGCAAAATGAAAGTCCATGAGTAAAGAGAATTTGGGGAAATCTTCAATAGTGACATTTAACTTCTCTGAGCATGCCTTGAGCATGCCTCAGTCTTCACTGGTAATGGCTCTTCCCACACCTTTTCAGTGGATGGACAGCAGGATGGGGACTGGGGGAGCGAAGTCCCTCCCACTCTAAGAGAAGATCAGGTTCGTGACCACCTGATGAATCTGAATGTACATAAGTCTGTGGGACCTGATGAAATGCATTGCAGGATCCTGAACAAGTTGACTGATGTAGTTGTCAAGTCACTCTCTGTGATACTTAAAAGTTGTGGTGGTGAGGTGAAATCCCAGGTGACTGGAAAAAAAGACCCATTATACTCATCTTTAAAAAGCTTAGAAAGGAGGTTCCCTGGGAACTACTGACCTCTCAGCCTCGTGTCTGTGCCTGGGAAGATCATGGAACAGATCCTCCTAGAAGCTGTGCTAAGCGACATGGAGGACAGGGAGGTGATTCAGGACAGCCAGCACAGCTTCACTAAGGGCATTTCATGATGGGGTGACTAGATAGTGGACAAAGGAAGGGCTACAGATGTCATTTATCTGGACTTCTGTAAAGCCATTGATGCAGTCCCCCACAACATTCTTCTCTCTTTTGAGAGAGAGATGGTTTTGATGAATGGACAATTAGATGGATAATAAAGTGGTTGTACAGTTGTATCCAGAGGGTAGTGGCCAATGGCTCAGAGTCCTGATGGACATCAGTGGCGAGTGGTGTCCCTCAGGGGTCCATACTGGGACCAGTGCAATTTATTATCTTCACTAATTATATAAATGCAGGGATTGAGTGTACCCTTAGCAAATTTGCTGGAGACAAGCTGAGTGGTACAGTTGACACACCTGAAGGATGGGGTGCCATCCAGAGGTACCTGGACAAGCTTGAGAAGTGAGCTCATAGCAGTTTCGTGAGGTTTAATAAGACCAAGTGCAAGGTGTTGCACCTGGGTCCGGGCAACTCCAGCAACACAGGCTGGGGAATGAACTGATTGAGAGCAGTCCTGCTGAGGACTTGGGGATGCTGGTGGATGAGAGGCTGGACATGAGCTGGCAACATGCACTTACAGCCCAGAAAACCAACCTTATCCTGGGCTGCATCCAAAGCAGTGTGGGCAGCAGGTTGAAGGAGGTGATTCTGCCCTGCTACTCTGCTCTGGTGAGGCCTCACCTGGAGTGGGGGTGCTGCATCCAGCTCTGGGGTCCCCAGCAGAAGAAAGACATGGACCCATTGGAGTGAGTCCAGAGGAGGGCCACCAAGGTGATTAGAGGGATACAGCACCTCTTTTCCTACAAGGATAGACTGAGAGAATTGAGTTTGTTCAGCCTGAAAAAGAGAAGGCTTTGAGGTGACCTATTTGCAGCCTTCTAGTACCTGAAGAGAGTCTGCAAGAAAGATGGAGGCAGACATTGGGGACTGGATTGAAATGAAAAGAGAATAGGTTTAGATGAGATATTAGAAGGAAGCTCTTTGCTGTGAGGGTGGTGAGGCACTGGCACAGGTTGCCCAGAGAAGCAGTGGATGCCGTGCCCCTGAAAGTGTTCAAGACCAGGTTGGATGGGGCTCTGACAAACCTGGTCTAGTGGAAGTTGGAACTAAATGATCTTTAAGGTCCCTTCCAACTCAAACCATTAAATGATTCCGTGATATCTAACAAAAGTCTGAGATTAAATTATCCTTATTTCATATCCTGTATGTCATTAAGCTCCCACAGCAGGGTATATAATGTGGTTTTCTGTTAATACTTAAACTTTTGAAAATTATTAAGGACAGGTGATAGTTAAAATTTTATTATCTGCATCAAAGTATTTTGTGGCTTTGTGGTAATAAAACAGTTTGACACTTCTAACAGAAAAAGATAAGCACATTCTGTACTAATTAGAAGCTGCATTTTTTATCAATTTCAAGCTAACAAAAAAATGGCTAACAGCTGCTCTACTAATTAGGTACACAGAATGTTGATCACTTCTTCTTGCTGAGCATCACACTGTTTCATTACTGCCTGAACAGGTGCCCGTTTGATAGAGCAAATAAGATGTTTTGTAAATTTAAGAGTTAAGACTATAAAGCCACCTTATCCTGACTTAGCCATTAAATTTCACCCAGTTATCCTTTCATTGAGCCAAATTTGCATGCACTAGTTTTGATTTGAATAAGATGTCTTTTTGATATTTCTGTGAGGTCTTAAAGCAGTTGGTTGTTTTCATATTTAAGAATTTACAATTCTTTATTTAAATGTATCTACTCTCGGCTTCAAGACTTCTGGTATTTTTCTCTGCTACATCTTAAAAGTCGCTTTGGTGTGAGATTTTTTGCAGCAAAGGTTTTTGTATGTAGCGATTAGATCATCTGTTGGTCTTGTTTATGATAAACTAAACAGATCGCACTTTTCAAGTCTTTCACTGCAACATATTTTCTCTGAATTTCATATCACGTTTGTGTCTGAGCTGTGTCTCTTCTACCCTTTCAATATCTGCATATGTCATTCAGTGTCAGAATGGGAATATTCTTCTTGCCCTAATTTTGTGCTGGTGTTGTATGTCAAGTTGCATGTTCCTTGCTTCCCTTTAGATTGCTCGTGGTAATGTCTGCTGTTCTGTACATATGGTCCACATTGCTTGTTGCCTAGCTGTTCTTTTATGAGATTTATTAAGATGCATTCATTTGAATGGTTATGTGTTAGAAGCAATCCAATCATTTTGTAGGGCTGTGCTAGCTTCTTTGCTAATTACCATCTACTAATTTTTCCCTTGAATGCAGAGCTCATAGTAAGTTCCTGTAGGTTTACTTCCAAATGTGATTTTAAAACTTGAATATCAGGGGAATTACTGATTTATTCCATTAGAAATTAATCTTTATGCCAATTCCTCATTCACAGAAATACTGCAAAATGTCAGTGGGTTTTTAATATAATTCCATGTTCATAGTATAAACTTGCTGAGTGGTTAAATCCAAGATATACTTTCTGCTGCCTTGCACTGGATACTTAGATAAATACTTAAAGTGCACTTTTCCCACATACATGAACACATAAGTACTTCAAATTATTAAAATGGAGCTGCTACTTTAGTAGTTTAACCACAACAGAATTCATTCTTCAGCTTCACTTTTAGCTTTTTCTTGGAGTTTATACACTTCTAAGGACCCTAGTTTTATCAGGAGGTATAATGGGGACTGCATGCCTTTCTTTCCCCAGATCTGCTTTTTTTGATTCAGAAATACCAACTTGTGTTGTCCTTAGGAAATGTTTTTTTTTCAAAAAACAGATATCTGAGAATACAGCTAGAAGGCATATCCTACTCTTTGCATGGTCTTTGTTTAGTTTCTTAGGCTGACATTTTCAAAGCAATAAAGGAGAGTTGTTTGCTAACTCATGGATGATGCGGATCCCATTTATGTTTATGCCCTTGAAATTACTTCACCTGAAATTGAAGCTTAAGTAGTGTAGGTGTGCTTGAGAATTATTTTCTTTGTCCCAACTTGTTTAAGTAAAATTACTAGGAACTATTTAAATTAGCAGTGCAGCTGAGGTATTTTGGTCCCATGAAACACTTGCATCCATCCTCTTTCCCGGGCAGTGGACAGAAAGCATATCTGAGTAGCAGATGCCTGAATGGGCCAAGGCAGGACCTGCTACTGATGATATGGAAAGTGATGGCAGTTCTGGCAGGAGCAGCAGCAGTGCCACCTCTCACCACCCTTCCTCACTCCTCCTCTTTTCTCCTTTCCCACATGTCAGCAGTAGCTGGACCAGGTGTTCTGTGAGAGCACATGGCCCTGTTGGCAAAGGCACGACATTTGGCTGCTCTGAGGCAATAAGCTTGAAGAGAGTGGGATTATGTAGTTCCATCTAAGCAGAGATCACAGAAATTTACCTGTAAACCTCATCTAGGTTCCCGGAGTCCTGAGAAGATTTAAATCTTAATCAAACATAGAATCATGCAGAATGTTTTACAAAAATAGGCATGTGCTGTCTATCTGTATGTGAATTGCTTTGAGCATTGTGTACATTGATGGTTGTTTTGAGTTTTTTGTATTTTTTTCTTTTAGTGAACTAGAAGTTGAAATAAATAGTAATAGTTTGTAACATTAATTTGCATGTTCTCAGTATTTCTTTTGCCAGCAAATATCACTGCCTCGAGTTTTAATACTTGCAGTACCTAAAGGGGGCTACAAGAGAGACTTTGTACCAGGCCTAGTAGCGACGGGACAAGGGGAATGACTTTAACCTGACAGAGGGTAGGTTTAGATTAGACATTAGGAAGAAGTTCTTAACTGTGAGAGTGCTCAGGCACTGGAACAGATTGCCCAGAGAAGTTGTGAATGTCCCATCCCTGGAAGTGTTAATGGTCAGGTTGGATGGAGCTTTGAGCAAACTTGTCTAGTGGAAGGTGTCCCTGCCTATGGCAGGGGGCTGGAACTAGATGATCTTTGAAAGTCCCTTTCAACCCAAACCATTCTATGATTTTATGCTGTACTCATATCTTATCATAATAAATTTGGAAATATTTAGAAGACACAAGTCATGTAGTCAGTGTGTCGGGTGATAAAATAAGGGACATTCTGTAGTGGGGGAAAAAAGAAGCTGCCTAGAACTTTGATTCATTACATATATGCTTAACTTCTTCAGTGGGTGTAAACAAGCCATTCTGATCTTTACCCTTCTTTTTTTACCCCTTATTTTTCTGCTGCAAATACTTTATTCCTGTCATTATTCATCCTTGGTCAGAAAGGAAGAATACAGTCAAATTGCAGTTTTCAGAGATCTGAAATTTTAAAATTTACTTTAATTAGAGACAGAGTAGGACCACTTCTGAGGGCCCTTAAATTATCCCACCATAAATATAATAAGTTGAAATTAATAAATTTCAGTTTAATTAAGTGTCCACATCATCCTAGCAAGTTCAAAATACTTTGTCTCACAATCTAAATCCCATTTAGGTTTCTGCCCTTGTCAATACTTCCTTCACCTGAAATTGAATCTTTTGAGAGCAAAAATCACAGTATATTCAGATAACTTTGCTTCCAGTGCCCTTACCAAATAACTGTTTGCAATTCCCACTAACCTGTAGGCCTAAGTTGTAAATCTCCTGCCAGTTTTGATAGATTTTCTTAGGATTTTTCTCTGGCAAATCTGTTTGGTGTTCATTTGAAATAGAGCCTCTGCAAAAATTCATGTGTGGAAGGAAAGATTATTTACCCAGCAATAAGAATGCATTTCTGCAAGATGAATTGCATGCATAAACACCAAGGCTCTCCCTTGCACTCTTTCAATCAGAGTTCCTGCCTGTGAAATTGGTTTTGGAGACAGGAGTAAAGAGCTGTGGATGCTGCTTTCTTCCCTTCTGTAACTTCTGTTTCTGCAGTCCAGATGTAAATGATACCAATGTGGCATCAATTTGGAATTAGTGGGAACAGTTTGCTTTAAAGAATCACAATTATGGTTGGATAAAAACTTACTTTATTCATACCTTCAGTTTCTGCTGTATTGAAAACACCAAATAGCAAATTAGATGCAAAATGGAAACAAAAAGCACAAATATGTTTTAAGATCTATGCTGGTAATTAGTATCTTTAAAGTACTACCAGCATTTTTCAATTGAGCTGTTTTCTTTGTTACTACATTTTTAAGTCAGAGAAGGCTGACTGAATACCTTGGACTCTTCCAACGTTGCTAACAGGTGAAGGCACTAATAGATGAATAATTTCTATATTCTCTTTCAAAGGAGAATGTTAGTTTTGTCACTTACTTTAGAAATGGGCACATGATGTGCTCTGCCCTTCTGCATGGAATGCTTAGCATAGGACAGTAACCATGTTATCAGCCTAAGTGAGGGTGAAGTTCCTGGCATTACTCAGCCAGCACTTCCAGCATGGCTCAATATAAGGCATCCACTGTTTGCAGTCTGCAGTGTTGTCCTCCTGAAAGTAAGCAATTTTAATGTTAGTTTCACTTTAGAAAGCCTTTTGACATCTTCAGATTAAATATGCCATCAACGAGGCAATTACAGTGGAAAACAATGAGAGTATTTGGAACTAGACTAACATTTGAAATTAGCCTGATAATTAGGTATTTTTCTTTTATGGATTATGGGTGTATTAAAAAATGGGAAGTGACTTCAATACATAACTTGCTGCTTCACTTGGTATAAATGTAAGATTTTAATCTTTTCCCTTTGCAGTTAAGTTACCAGCTCAAGGTGGGTATCATGTACTGCAAAGCCGGGCAAAGCACGGAAGAGGAAATGTATAATAATGAATCAGCAGGTCCTGCCTTCGAGGAGTTTCTTCAGCTCTTGGGAGAAAGAGTGCGACTCAAGGGATTTGACAAGTATCGTGCTCAGCTGGATACAAAGAGTAAGGCTTTGTTGTATTTTTTTTCCCCTCTTAAGTGAACAAAATGGTTGCAAACTGCCTTTTTGCAGAGAGTTCTTAAAAATATCTTCACTATAGAAAGACAGTTGCTAAATATTATAAGTGGAAGCAAAACACATATGTAATTTGACCCATATGGTCTCCCAACTCTGACAATCCGTGGTTTTTTTGTACTAATTTGGTATGAAATTATCACTAAAGTTGCAACAAGAAACCAGTAACTATGGAGCCATTATTGGTATTGCAAGTCCATCATCAGTAAAGACTCATCAATACAGTTGGTATGTCATAAAGTTTTTAATGTTAGACTTACAGATTGTCACCAAAATGTTTTGAGAACCCATCTATGGCACTCCACCTTGATGAGTTAATTTACTGCTTTTCTGATGTCTGTTGCATGCAGTTTTTCTTCTAGGCAGTTTTGTCTCAGTCATGCTGTCAAATGTATTCCTCCCTCTGTGATTTTTCCTTTTGCGTTATGGAAATTAAACTGGATTTGGCAGTTATATTATCAGCTTTAACTGTAAAACATATTGCAACAAAAATGCAGTGCTATGATGATCCTGGGTGACCGTGTCTATAAAAGAAACTCCCTGCTTTTGGAATCAAGCATGTGAAATACCTGTTTATCAGCTAACACACGCTATATTCCATTTGTAGATCTATTTAAAGTACTCGGGGAAGTTTTGACTTCTATTCCTTTTCTTCGATTATTGGAACAAACCAGTTCCTATGGAAATCTTTTGCTGTTTTGCTCACTTGTGGCAAAGGAAAATAAATAAGGAGTTGATTCATGAAAGATGGAAAGCATTCATCTACTTCAGTGCAGCAAAAACTGGTTTTGTCTTGGCTCTCCTAGCACAAATACAGTAACTTGCAGTGCTTTAGTGTTCTCCCATTCTAGCTTGTGCCCTTATTTCCTACAGGGATTGCATTGCCATTTCCTCAGGCTGTTCTTGACCAGTCTTATTATCAGTCCTCAGAAAGTTAAAAAATGTCCTGTGTTTTCAAACCTAAATTAATACCTATTTTACCCACATTTAACATTGAGCCTGCTTTCTTTTACTTGCCATACTTATATTCCATCTGTTGTAGTTACTCCTTTGCATGCATTTTGTACAATCACAGAATGGTTTGGCTTGGAAAGGACCTTAAAGATCATCTCATTCCAACCCCCCTGCCATGGGCAGGGACACCTTTCATTAGATCACTTGATCAAAGCTCTATCCAACCTGGCCTTGACCACTTGCAGGGATGGGACATCCACAGCTTCTCGGGGTGACCTCTTTGAATGTTTCACCACCTACAAAGAGAAGAATTTATATTCCCAATATGTAATCTAAACCTACCCTCCTCCAGTTAAAAGTCATCCCCCCTTGTCCTATCACTACACATTCTTGTGAAGAGTTGCTCTCCAACTCTCTCATAGATTGCTTTAGGTACTGGAAGGCTATAAGGTCTCTCCAGAGCTTTCACTTCTCTGGGCTGGATAATCCCAACTCTCTCAGCCTGCCTTCATAGGAGAGGTGCTCCAGCCCTCTGATCATCTTGGTGTCCTCCTCTAGACTCACTCGCTCCAACAGGTTGATGTCCTTCCTGTGCTGAGGATCCCAGGGCTGGATGCAGCACTCAAATGGAGACTCAATACTCCATTTGGTATCCAGGTACTGAACACAGTACTCCATTTACACGTCTGATTGTGTCTTCTCTATGCTTTCGTGATGTTACCCTTACTAAGCGAAGCCTAGTTTATTGGTATGTGATGTGATTGGTATGTGATGGATTTCTCTGCTTGCCCACACACATACACACATGCAGTATTACCTGATGACCTTCCTCTGCACTCACTCAAGTTAGAATTCAGTCTCTTTAATTTTAGTGGCTAGGATTATATACATGATTCCAGATGAGATCTTCTTGTCTATACTGAAATACATATAATTCTTAGGGTGGATTTTCCTTCTCTGCAGCTCTGAATTGTTATTTTATCAGTTATAAAGAAAAGCTAGATCAAAAATCATATGTGTATGGAAAACAGTGCAAATATTTATTTAGGTTCTGGTTTTATATTGCAACTTTCTTGTTATTTTCAGTAGCTAAAGTAAAATCCTCTCTTCCCTTTCATCTGGTTTAGTTAAGATGTGAAAAAAACCAACCCCACACAAGCCTTATTTTGGTGTCAGTCCACACACACTGGTTTCTAGTATGATTAAGAGTTGATTCATTTGCTTAGATACACCCATGAAAGCTGTAACTGTCTTTTGAGTACTCATTTTGCATTTTCTTCTGAGCAGCAGAATTTTCCAGAAATGTTTTGAGTTCCTTCCTGTTGCTTCTGACTCAGGGAAGGAATTTTGTAAGGTTTTGAGTTTTATGTACTACAGTCTAGCACCTGTTGAGCGGAAACATATGTGAACTTGTAGTTAACTGAATTTCTCCTGGTTTTGACTTGTCTTCTTGTAATGAAGGTTTCTGCTCTGTGTTGAGAGCTGGCATGTCTTTTTGACATTGCCCAGTAGACCTACCCAGCTCCATTCTGTATCTAAAAATACAAAAAGGCTTTACATGAACACTTCACTGTGATCAGAGAGGAACAGGAATCCTCAGAGTGGAAACTACTGCTTTCATGAAGGGTTTCCTGCATTTTCTTCAGTCAAGGTTTACTCATCAGCTAGAACTGCTTAGAAACTCTGAAGCTGTCAGAAATCTTTTGGGCTATTTTGTCTGCAGGCTTTCTGAGAAAACACACAGCTACAAAGCTTGTATGAGTTCTTAATGAGTAGGTTTAGACAGCAGCAAATGTGAACAATGGCAGCAAACTTTTTTAAGTGATCTTGATGGTTGTATGTTCTCCTTTCTGCCAGTATGCAAAGCAGACTGGAAGCAGTGAAGAAAAAGGTCTTTTGGGGACTGTTCTGGAGCATTTTGGATAACTGCATTCGGAAACATTTGATGCATGTTCTGCACAGGAAATGGGAGAAAAAAATGAAAAAACCCAAAGAAATCACTTTGTGGTAGGCAAAATTCTAAAGACCAGAGCTGGTTGAAAGAGCTCTATCTCTGATATGGGGAATATGTGAACAGCAGAGTACAGCCAGGCAATATATCTTTGATAGCTACCATAAGTAATCAGTAAGTCTTTTTGCCTTGGCTCTAACAAAAAGACCTGCAAAGGAGGATGTGTTTTTCACTGTGATTTAGGTTTATGGGTTTTGTTGAAACAGCTAGGTCTACAGCTAGGAAATGAATTCCTCTCTCTTCCAGATCTCTGCTCTTCTGTTGCTAGAGATCACTGTCTTGAAATAGTTCTTGCAGTATCATGACTCAGGAAATTTTCCTGCGTAAAAATTCTGTTCAGTGTCAGCATAGTTGATTGCAAAGATACACTTAAAAACAGATGTCTGTTCCTTGACTTGTAAGAAAGGTCAGATCTATGCAGGCCACTTTGCTAGTTTCTATACCTTTGGCAGTGCTTTGCAACCTATTAAAAGTAGTTGCATGATGTAAGTCACATGGAAAGATTTTCACTGGATAAAGGTGAGCTGATTTGTATATATTCTCTGGAAATTTTCACAATCTTTTTTAATAAAAGCAAATGTAGAAAAGTAAAGTTGCTCTAGCAGTTTCAGAACAGTTGTTCTTAGAAATTTTTAGAGTTAGGGGCCTACTTGGTAAGTATCCCTGACAGAGCCAGTTTTTTAAAAGGAGGAATCTCATGCATCCTATTAACTGAAAGCCTATTTAAGCGTATTGGATCCTTCAAGGGCTTTTGCTTTGGATTTCTGCCAATGCAACTGTGAAAAAGAGCTGCTACTTTTCAAGTTTTGTTTGTTTATTTCTAGAATTACCAGAGGGGAAGCAGTGTATCTCCTGGCAGCCTGCAGACTTTGGATAGGAAATAGAGCTTGAAAATGTCACCTATCCCACAGTGGGTAGGAAGTTTATGGCCATCACTTTAAAGTAATAAACATCACAGTGATCTTTCAAATTATGGCTTCAATCATTTAACTTTATTTTCTAGTTGTAATGCATACTTTATTTCCCTCCCCCTCACTTGGTCTTATTTCTCAGTATTTTAAATTGGTAAATGGGATCGGCTGGATAATTCTAGGCCTGGTAACATGGCATGTGTGTCTAACAAATTGGTGTGGTTGGTGCAGGAAATGAGGGAAGTTGATTAATGTGAGTTGTGGGAGTTCATGAATTATCTATTTGACAAGTGTATTAACTTAACTAATAATGGTAGATAGCTGTACTAGATGTTTATGTACTGCATGATGTTCTGGATTAGACGTGAGAAGAATATGAAAACAGAAGTTATTAAATACATAAAATATCTAGGGAATGAATGGACATTTCATTTAGGGGTTGTCAATAAACCCCAATGTTTGTAATAAAATAATACAGATAGACTGCCTTCTTAACTTGTGCTATATAACATCTTTCCATCTTTTTGGAAATAAGAATAAACTCACACTTGGGTCTGAGACATTTGTTGGGAGACCAATAGCCAAGTGAGGTCAGAGGTTCCTTAATTTGCTTAAGATGCAGAAACAGGGATGGTGGGAAGTCCATTTGAATTTCTCTGTATTTAGGTTCCACATAATATTTTTGTATGTTACAAAGTAAAAGATCCTGTTCTCAGAAATTGTCTGAAAACAACTTGGATATTACAGAAGTTGAATGTGAGTGCTTGATGTAATCCTTGTGTATAACAGAAAGAAGAGCAGTTTTGATAGGTGCTGACAGCAAAGGTAGAGGGAAGCAACATTAAATTCTGAAAATTTGTGTTCTCATGCTTTTAATTGTGAGCAGTTAATGATGGAAGAAAAGATCAGATAAAGCCTCAGCTAAGCAGCCCAATCCAGTAATGGGACACGGCTGAGAAGGCATCGTGAATGGCTATGCCATAAACTGATGCAAGGGGGAATGTCTTCAGTCTAAAAATGTGCTAATGAATTTGTAGATCCCACAGGCCTCTGTTACATAGAAGGAAATTGGAGTAGATTTCAGTGCTGGCTTAAAGTTCTGACCTTTAAATGATGGATACTTATTCCAGTGTGTAGTCTTGGATTTTACTGCAATGGCTCTGATTTGATTTAAAGCAAATACCTGTAATTATTGTGTTGTACTTCAGAAAATATATTCTTAACTTGAAAGAAAAAAGAACTCTAAATGGTGAGAGGAATGTGCAGTCTGTAGTAGATATGGACTTCTGTTTGTGGTTGGATTTAAATGAGAGATTTAAGCTGTGAAGTACTTTGAGATTATTGGAATTACTAAATATGTCATTTGGATTGTAGCCTGATTATTTAGTTTGCAAAATCAGTGCTGCTCTAAGAAAGAACTCTCTTCTGCCTGAAATGAAGTCCATCCAGGAAAGTTGAAAGTTTGGCTTTCAACTAGTTCTAGCTTATTACTTGTCAGAATTGCTTTATTCTTGTCCCCCGAACGCTTTTGAGCCCCTTCTCCTCTTTCAGGGGCTTCCTTCCCATTCACCTAACTCACTTCCCTATCTTCTTGCACCTGTTCCCCCTTTCCAATGACTCGTAGTATTTTTGCATGTTCTAGTTATGAAAGATGGACGTGCAAATTAGCATGTTTACATTAAACATAAAAAAGCCAGTAAGAAGTTTTGTTGATGTTTCGGTGACTTTCAGGTGCATTGGCCTCCTTCAGTGTGTTTGGCAGTGATTGGGCAGAGAATAGAAGCTGCTGTGAATGGAGTACAAGATGAAATGATTCCTTTTCAGCTGTCCTGCTGTTCTAATTACCATAAAAAAGAAAATATTTAGCAGTTGGCTAGTTTATCCTAAAGGCAATGTTAATGCTGAGAGAGAGAGCGCCCAGTCTCCTTGAAACATTAAATGAAAATTATTATTTTCTTTATAAGGTTGCAGGAATCTTTCTGATTCCCATATTATTCTATATAGGTGATTTGGAAGTGCAAAATCTCTATGCAGCTATAATGTAGAAAACTCTCAATTTCATTTTATAGACAATTTTGCAGTTTTTCATTTACAGTAAAGCTGCCTCTATTTTATTATTCTGAATCTGACAGAAAACAAACTTCTCAAAGTTTATACCCAAAATCTGGGTAAACAAACTGTGTATTTATGTTATTGTAAATGCCCCACAAATCTCAGAGCTATTATCTCCTTAGTAACATGATCTCTCTGCTAATAAAAAAAGCCGAGGTATAGTTTTTAACAGCTTTTTAAGATACTTGGTTATAAATAGCTGTGATTATATAATTTAGTAGCATGTTTATATAACTTCAAATAACTGAGATGCTTTCTTCCATACATAAAGCTAGTTATTTTTAAGATTCTGCTTGAAATTAGGCATTTTGCATTGTGGACAGGTCAGTTGTATTTAGTAGAATATACTCACTATTTCAGCTTTAAATTTGTTACTACTTAAATTAATGGAACATTTTTCAAGGTCACTTCAAGAGTGAAAAGTAAAAGCAGAAGTTCACAATTTGTAATCAAGTGTTGTTTTCAGCTTATACTTTATAAACTCGATAATATCCCTTCTTCTTTTTTGCTTTCTAAACTTCACAATCCTAGTTTTTATCATTTTTTCTTCACGTGGAAGTCTCTCCATCCATATATCTTTTTTTTGTGGCCTGTTTCGGAATCCCTTCTGTTTCTTCTATAGCTTTTAAATTAGTATGGCTAGAAGCCAAACCCAAACCTTTGGCTAAGATACCAGCATCATAATATCATTGTTGTGGGCTTTTCCCATCATCAGTTATAAGCATGCCTGCATCCTTTCTGGGGTTTTGACTGTTCTTGTCCATAGAGCACATGTTCTACTGAAGGTTTTATCTGACTTCATTGCAGTTAATTTAGAGTCCTGGTATTTATGTTTAAGAGAATCCATTCCATTCTTACTGTGGGTTATCTGTCCTTTGCTATTTAATTATGCATGAGCTCAGGGTATTCATTTGCAATGTTATCCACCTTCCTTTCTGAAGTCCTTTGCACATTCCTTACAGTTCAGTTTCATTCTGAGAAACTGAGTGGTGCTTAAAAATTATCTCAGACTTTATCACTTTTCATGCTTAAATAGGCTTTCTTTAGGGTCTTCTGGTATAAGTTCCCTATTCCTAAGAATCTGTGCTTGGGAAAAGTATGCGAAATCATACAGGCCATCCATATGTAACATTTGCTTTGGCAAATAAACTCTGAGTAAGTTTTTATTTGCTGATATTTCAGCTAGGGTCAAGGCTGAAGAGGAATTCTTGTCTTGCCTCATGATTTTCTTTGATAGTAATGAAACTTTGTTTTAAAACTTTTTTTAAATAATGCTTTCATTTTGTCTTCTTAACTGCAGCTGATTCAACGGGTACTCACTCTCTATACACAACATACAAGGACTATGAAATCATGTTCCATGTTTCTACTATGTTGCCATATACTCCAAACAACAAGCAACAGGTGAGATCAGCTATGCTTATTTAGAATTATCTTCCATCTCAGAAGTAGCTGAACTATTGAGTATTTATGACAACTTTCATTTGTTATTAGCAAAGAAAACACTTAGGGAATCAAAAGTAGAACTGTCCATCTCTGTCAGGGAGATGAGCAAAGAAGATCATTGTAGGTGCATTGTACATAGGTTTTGCTCTGTTGGACTGTTTTCCATTTGATTATCCCTTACTTTGATGCAAATGTTATACAATGTCAGTAGTGCATCTGTGTTACATAAATAAGAGTTCATAGCTTGTATCAAAAGGACCATAGTATACTTGACATGGTTTTAAACCTTCTAGAGTGAAGTCCATTGCCCTTTAAGGATTGCATTCAGCAAATGGTAATAATTCCAGAGTCAGAGATAATGAGTCCAGCACATTATACAAAGAGACGTGAGACATAATCTGTCCTTCCTCTCCTTTTGAAATAGAGCCTGCCACTGGCTTGTACGTGTGAAATGGGGAATGTTTTCCCACTTCCATGTATCACTGATTACTCTGGTACTTACAGGGTTTGTTGCTGGCTTTCCCCTTTGTTTAGCTTCAAATTTTCTCTTGTAAGTTTTTCCTGTGTGCTGCATATAGAAATGAATTTATTACAAAAATGCACATGCCTGGAATTTATTAGATAAATAACTAATTCTAGTACTCTGTTACATAAACCCTCAATTGTTTTAGTTTTCAGCTTGAAGTGTCTTTTGGCAAAATAAATTGAACAATAGTAATTTATAATAATGAGAAATAAATATCTGGACATTTGTGTAAAGTCTTTGTTTTAACTCGTGCATCTTTTATTTTTTGTTTAAGCTTCTGAGAAAGCGACATATTGGAAATGATATTGTGACAATAGTTTTCCAGGAACCTGGAGCACAACCATTCAGCCCAAAGAACATTCGATCCCACTTCCAGCACGTGTTTGTCATTGTAAGAGTGCACGGTCCCTGTACTGACAGCGTTTGTTACAGGTAGCTATTGCTAGAGGCACTGAAAACACGGAATATAAGCTCAAAGGGAGGTGTCATTCTTCAGTTCTCAGTAGGGAAGCATAATGAAAGATGGGGGTCAAGGAGACTCTGGGTCATGTGAATTTAGAACGCTTTCAAAAAAGTAAATAGACACACATGAGTATGTAAATGAAACATACCCAGTGAAAAAATGCTGCTGGCAGTATGCACATACACACACGTATACATACACATGCATATCGAGCATTGGGAAATTATTTTAAAATTGCATTCTCACTTCCTTTTTATTCTCCTTATTAAGAGTATACTTGAAGAGTATTTTTGCATTGAAAGAAATAGACCAAAGAAAGAAAAACCCCTGCTTTTTGTTCAGATAATTTTGTCATCTGAGCTGATGTTTCATTTTTGAAATTAAGACAGTTAAAAAGTATGACATAACTTTTCAGAACACAGCTGAAATGTCTTCATTTCTTATCTCATTTCAGTCCAACAAAGAAATTGCAGGAAATTATGCAAGAAAAAAAAATTCTCAGTATGACCTTAAAGTCAATATGAAAAAATAGAAAATGGTAATTGATAGTACCATATAATGTATGTATGTACCATATAAAGTATACTGGATGTATGACCACGGTGTATACTGTATGTACTGTTGTGGTTTAACCTCAGCCAGCAGCCAAGAACCACACAGCTACTCACACACTCCCCCACCCATGGGATGGGGGAGCAAATCAGAAGGGTAAAAGCTACAAAAACTCATGGGTTGAGATAAAGACAGTTTAATAGAGGAAGCCAAAGCTGCACACACAAGCAAAGCAAAACAAGGAATTAATTCACTGCTTCCCACAGTCAGGAGGTGTTCAGCCATCTCCAGGAGAGCAGGGACCCATCATGTGTAACAGTTCCTTGGGAAGACAAACACCATCACTCCAGATGCCCCCCCTTCCTCCTTCTTCCTGCCCCCTTATATACTGAGCATGATGTCCTATGGTATGGAATATCCCTTTGGTCAGTTCAGGTCACCTGTCTGAGCTGTGTCTCCTCCGAATCTCCCATGCATCCCCAACTTCCTCTCCAGTGTGGCAGTACAGAAAGCAGCAAAGGCCTTGGCTCTGTGTAAGCTCTGCTCAGCAATAACAAAAACATCTCTGCATTATCAACTCTGTGTTCTGCACAAAACCCAAACATAGCCCCATACTAGCCACTGTGAAGAAAGTTAACTCTACTTCAGCTCAAACCAGCACAGTACACAGTGTATACATTGTATATCAAATGTAATGTATATACCATATAAAGTACCAAGAATTCCAAGATGAGACTCCTGTATAGCATATATTTTTTTAACCAAGTTGCAAGCATATAGAAATAATGTTTTTGAGTTGCATCTCATTTTAAAATTGGGGAAACTTTTTGCCTTAGCTATATTCAGAACTCTTAAAGTATTTTTAAGTGTCTGATCTCAGCACACTTCTGTAAAGCTTCTTCATCTAAAATATGAAGTGTTAAAGCAAGGGCTTTAGAGTAGCTGTCTTGAAATAAAATAGCCTTAGAATTAACTTTTCTTCACTGAAATACAAATGTTCACTTAAGTGTTTTATTAAGACACGTGCATATTTAGAGGGAAATCTGAGACTAGTGTCTGAGATGGTGTATTCATTATTTTTCCAGTACATATAGAAGGTTTAAAGGCTTTCTCTCCAAGATTTTGGTGAAGTTCACACAGTGTTTCTGGAACTGATGCTGAACTTTGTACATGTATTAACTCTGCTGGAGTAAGAATGATCATGTTGGCACTCATTTTCAGGCAGCTTATTTACAAATTCAGCTGTTACATAATTTATGTGGACAGAGCTTGTTCTTAAACTGTTAGGCATATGTTTCAGCTCTTATTCTGTACAGAAACTGATTTTGAAGTAAAGTGAAGGGAGGAAATGCATCCACATGGGCTGCAGATGTGTTTTCCATTTGAATTGGGTATTACAGCATAGACAAAGATCTGCTTGTGGCTAGTATTTTAAGTAATATGACTGCATATTTTTCAATTTCTTCCTTTTAAAAGACCTTCAGACTCCTGAATCTCTTCATTTTTCAATGGTTTACAGTTACAAGGACTGAAACCTCACTGATTACTTAATAGTAATTTTGGCTTTAGTGATGGTATGGGCTTGATTTTTACAGGGAGTGAGTACAGGTAGGAAGAATAATTGTGAGAGTGTCAAGTGTTCATTTTGATTCAGGAGACCACCAGAACATTCTATGTTCTCTGTACTGTCTGAGATGAAAATTGCTTTTCTTGTCCTCTCAGTGCAAACACTTGATTTAAATTTATAGAATTCTATTCTAAAAAGTTTTTCTAGGAAACTTTTAGGAGTAAGTTTGACCTCTTTTTCACTGAATTATTTGGAACAGTTTCATAGATTCATAATTCTAGACAAAACAGGAAACCATAGAGCCTGAAAATGTACTGGAATTTATATTAAAAAAACTACATAAAAGGAATAAAATCAAGCACTGTCTTGGCCAGTGATTCTCCCTCACAACTAAGATAAACAATATTTCAAAAGTCTGGTGTCTCTGTTGGCATTGCTCACTTCTTAGGCTTTCTCTAGCGTATGTTAAATGTTGAATACTTATCCCTGTGATTCTTGATATTAAAAACCAGATCAAACAAAATCTTAGTGGTAGTTTTTCATTGCACTCAATAATTGTGTTTAAAGCTTAGGCTTCCATCTCTTCATAACAGACCCTTTAGGACCACTGAAGACGAGTCAGATAGTTGTTTCATGAGCACCCCCTGTTGCATACTTTTAGATATACTGGCATACATTTGGTGGAAAGATGACAGTAATGACGTCTTTCAATATCAGTTGCCAGAAAATAAAATTTAAAAAAACCAAAACAACAAACCGAAACCAACCAACCAAACCACCCAAACAGAAGATATGGTTAACGATTTTGTGAGTTGATTGTTATTTTTGGTGTTCCCTCAAAATATTTACTCTGCAATCTCACTTATTGATTATTGAGGGGATTTCTCTGATTATGTTGAAGGATTCTGATAAGAACAAATTATGAAAATAATACCAGCTAGTCTTCCAAATGAAACACCACATCAGTTTCTAATGTCTTCATCTATTCTTCATCTCCATTACTGTTATATTTTGACCAAAATTAGTTAATGCTTTTTCAGATCTAGTTATAGATATGTGGTAAAACCTGTTAGAACTGTTGAAGCATTTCTTGCCTCAAACCTATAAAAGTACAGTTGTCAGTGGAGAATAGCTAAGCTTGTCCCCATTGCCTAAGGCAATCTTATTGTCAGTCCGTCACTCGGGACAGAAACTAAAAGGAAGAGTTAAAAATGAAAGTATCTATTTATACTGCATATCTCCAAACTTGTAAGAAATCGTAGAAATAAATTTTTGGAGTCTGCTTCTATCACTAGCATGCAATATCAGCTAGTGAAGTTATCAATCCAGAAATTTTAAACACAATCAGTAGTGTGATGTGTGTATGCATTCAGTCACCAGAAGATTTTCACAGTGAAACTGGCCTTGAGATGACTTTATTGCCTTTGTCTTTTAAATGTGTCCATTTAATCTATAGTTCTAGTATTGATCATACACTTTACATTGCTTTCAGATGATCCTTTCAGCATTAGGTAGCTAAATTCTAAACTAGCTTTTGTAATATCATGAGGTATAAATTTTCTATTTATACTAAGACCAGCAAAATTCAGAACTATCATAAATGAGTGATTGCATTATCAAAAAAAGTACAATTGTGCACTCGAAGTTCTTTTTAAGATGTGGTATAAAAATGCCTGGGTGCAAAAACAGTGGCTTATACAGTGAGGGGGGCATAATCTGCACACTGCCTTTATGTAAATATAGGTGTATTACTGAGAAAAAGAAAGAAAAATTGAGGGCTTAAGGAAAAAAGGGAATGTATTTTCTGTATTCAAGAACTGGTGAATTTCCATAGAGTGAAACACTATGCTTCTTTCTGTTTCTATTGTACAGTGTTGCTGTGACAAGATCCAGAGATGTACCATCCTTTGGACCACCTATTCCAAAAGGCGTCACGTTTCCTAAATCAAATGTGTTCAGGGACTTCTTACTAGCCAAAGTAATTAATGCAGAGAATGCTGCTCATAAATCAGAAAAGTTTCGCGCAATGGCTACCAGGACCCGTCAAGAGTACTTGAAAGACTTGGCAGAGAAGAATGTCACCAACACACCTATTGACCCTTCTGGGAAGTTCCCCTTCATCTCGCTTGCTTCAAAAAAGAAAGAAAAGTCCAAACCTTATCCAGGAGCAGAGATCTATAGCTCTGGTGCTATTGTATGGAGTGTCCACGCAAAAGACTACAGCAAGGGCATGGAAATAGACTGTCTCCTAGGCGTCTCGAATGAGTTTGTAGTCCTCATTGAACAGGACACAAAAAGCGTGGTGTTCAATTGCTCCTGTCGAGACGTGATAGGGTGGACTTCAACAGACACAAATATCAAAATATTCTATGAGAGAGGTGAATGTGTTTCTTTGGAGAGTTTCATCAGCAACATTGATGATATCAAAGAGATCGTCAAAAGGCTGGAGGTAAGAATGTGTTCTTTTAGTTGGTTCCCCTTCTTTGCTTTCTCCTTTCACCCTGTGCCAACTAAGGCTTCAGTTTAAATAATGCCTGAGATCCCTAAAACTGTTCTAATTGTCTATCATGAAATCTCTAAGGGCTTTCTTGCTTTTATTTCTCAAAGTCCAATCTTGTGTTCATTTTTATCAGATATCAGCCAACCTCAGCTGGTTTGTGTGTGCAAAAAATGTCTCAATATATTAAAAAAAGCAGGGCCTTCACATGTGTAAGTTCCTCACACAGAACAAATACAGAAGTGTCACATTATCTCTCTTCCTTGTTTTCCTTCCCTTTCTCTGTTTTATAGGCTTGTTTGTATCTTGTTTCAAATGAAACTGTGATGTCTGTGATACTGACTTATTATGTTGCCAGCAGGGTGCAGTCCCAATCCCTGTTGCAACCTGCAGATAGTCTCTGAATGCATGTGATAAAGTAAAAATGCAGTGAATTGTGGTATCTGCGTATAAAACATCTGTCCATGCTAATTTTTTATTCAGTTAAGTTACAAAAGAATCTATTATGTTTCACTGTCTTTCCTGTCATTTCACAACTGTAGTTGTGAATAATAACCAGAAAAAAAGGAAAACCAGGCCCTATTAAATTGCTCTTAAGGGTATTCATACTCGTGGTACATAAAAGAGTTGGCATGGCCTGCAGTTTACTGTGCTTAGTAACTGCATGCCACCACATTCTGATTGAAAGTAATCTTGCAGCTTACTGAAGCAGCTAGAAATGTAGAATGGTTATTTGGCTATTAAAGCGTAAAAGATAAAGATGCTTGTTTAACTCCATGTGTTTTCCTGTTGTGTGCTGTTATGTATCGTCTAAAACTCTAGTGGTTTCAGTAAACATTCCAAGGCAGATCTTGGGTAACTAGATTCTACTGAAAATGCTAGTCTGAGTGACAAGACCAATTTCACCTGATTATGCACCTAGGACTGCAATATATATTCCTCGATCGTGTCCCATCATTGTCTTGGGAGCCAGTTGACAGCACAAAAATGGAGCCCTTAAACCTCTATTAGCTCTAGAGATCTCTTGATGTATTAAATTCCATCTTCATTTCAATTCACAGCTTGTGACTAAGGGCTGTGAAACAGTGGAGATGACTCTGCGTAGGAATGGTCTGGGGCAGCTTGGTTTCCATGTAAACTATGAAGGCATCGTGGCAGACGTTGAGCCCTACGGCTACGCGTGGCAGGCAGGACTGCGGCAGGGCAGCCGCCTGGTGGAGATCTGCAAGGTGGCTGTAGCCACTCTGAGCCATGAGCAGATGATTGATCTTCTCAGAACGTCAGTAACAGTGAAGGTCGTAATTGTCCCTCCATATGAGGACTGCACACCACGCAGGTATTGTATAGTAGCTCTGTTTGCTCTGAAATTGTATCTGGTCTGTGGGCTTATGGGGGAAGAAACACCACAGAGTAAGTGTTAACCTCTGAAAATCATGATGTATTTATGTTATAGCATGCAGTATTGTAAAGTAAAAGAGGAGAGCAGGAAAAACTGCCCATATTCAGTCTCCAGGCCCCCCAGATAATCACTGAATACCAAACCTTAATAACATGTGTGAAGTTCATGTGACCTTGAAATTCCATGGGATGTAACATGGAAATCAAGCAATGTTTTGATAACAATTGTACATTTAAGATTAATTGTACACTTCCCTGCCTGCTTTCCCATTTGTTGGTAGTCTGTAATGCCTGTGGATGTAATTCTTAAGCTATGAATAGACTTTAATTTTACTATTTTCACAATAAGTAAGGCTGTAAATGATAAGGGTTTATCAAAGGTGTGGATCTGGACAGAAAAATAGCTGCAAATGGTGATTCTTCACTCAGTAGTAGATCTTGCTGTGTGTCTCTCACTTCCCATCCATGTTAAGCCTAAAGCTTGTGTCAACTATATTATTGCCTTTATAGCTTTAAAATGTTGCTTGATCAGAAATAAGAAGTAATATGTGCTCTTCTTCTTAAACTGGACATTAAGTCCCTCCATTTTTCCTGAACTCACACTAAAGCTTTTATAATTTTTACTGCTCCCATCTGAACTCTCAGAAGTTGTTTGTAGCATTCTGCCACATCACTAAATCCAATTCCCACATTCCTGACATCCTGTATGCATATCTTGCAAATGCTATATGATTAGAATGGAATGATCTTTAATAGAATAAATTTGCCTGCAGGCTAGCTGAAGGTTTATGCTAGATTTGCCACAAAGAAGCAAGTAGAGTTATCACGGCTCAGTGTGTTTCTTGAAGTGAGAAACCATTTTGCACGTCTGTTTTCTAATCAGTCAGTATCTTTGTAGGTGTAGATGCTATGTCTTTGTATACTTAAGGCTGGGGCTGAACTTAAACACATATTTATTACATTGATATGAAATTGTGTCTCTGAGCAAGGACCTTGTCCTTGTAAAAAAGAAAACTCCATGTTTGCTTTTATTGTGAGCAATATTAGCTCCTTTTGTAAATGGTAGCAAAACAGGAGCAGAGAGAAAAGGAGTTTTATTTGTCCTTTAGTTGCCAGTGGAAAATTGAATACATGTCAGGGTTAAAATGAGCAGTGGCATAAGGTCACCTATGAGATATTTGGAAAGCTTTTGTACAGTATTTAGCAGCCCAAGCAAATGGAAAGTTCAGCTGCAATCATCACAAAAGGATTAGAGCAGAAATATCTGTGTGGAAAGCACAGATCCTATTATTCCTGAACTAAATTAAGTACAGCCGAAAGCAGGCTTACCTTTAGTGTGTCCAAACCCACAGCAGTAAGAGAAATTACTGCACTTTTTGAAGCACTGTACTCAGTATCAGAGAGTTTTGTTGTTGTTTGTAGTGAGCAATTGTTCATGGTGGGTTATTGCCTAGTTATAAAATTTCATAAAGCAACCCTTTATCCTGCTTGCTCTATCCAACATCATAAAGGTTCAGGAACTGTGACTTGAATTTATAGCTATCCTGCGTATATTACTAGAGACTTGAGTTAAAGGTTTGCACAAAGCAATTTCTCTTTTGGCAGTGAGTTTTCTGAAATTGGAGTCCTTTTGTTGTGTCCTCTGGAGGTCAGTTAGTATTTCTACTGCAGTAACTTCTGCAGACCATAACTAAAATGAAGATCAGTTCTGCTTGGAATAGTACATTCATGTGAGAAGCAGTTGCTGTCCTAATAAATTGTTTGGCATGAAGTTGGAGGAAGAGCAGGGATGCAGTTGGATAAGCAGACTTGACAACAGGCACATGTACAAGGTCTGTAGCAGATGCAAAAATGTATCCAAATACCCTGATGCACATCCTAATGCTCTACACAGAATCAGGCCTTGTTACGGTTATATCTCCACTAAACCATGGTCATTAACACATTGCCACTGAATTCATTTAGTGGACTGATTGCTGACCTTGAAGTTAAGAGCACCACATCAATAGGAAATTGTGTATTCCTGCTTCTTAAACTGTAATTATGACTGAAAAAAGACACCAACCCAAAC